CAAAAGCACTGTTGGTCCAATCCTATTCATTCATTCATAAAAATATTCAGTGCTTTTTTTCCCTTTAAAAAATGTTTAGGGGCACTCTCATTTTGACTCAAGAAACCACCATTTTATAGTTCAAATCGGGGAAAATAAATACAGTAAATGGATAAAAGTACAAAGATTCGCAAAATGTTTAGGGGTAAGCGTACCCCCAGAAAAAATGCCCTGAAAACATTTATATAAAGGTAAAGGTAAAGGTACCCCTGCCCGTACAGGCCAGTCTTGACAGACTCTAGGGTTGTGCGCTCATCTCACTCTATAGGCCGGGAGCCAGAGCTGTCCGCAGACACTTCCGGGTCACATGGCCAGCGTGACAAGCTGCATCTGGCGAGCCAGCGCAGCACATGGAAACGCCGTTTACCTTCCTGCAAGTAAGCGGTACCTATTTATCTACTTGCACCCGGGGGTGCTTTCGAACTGCTAGGTTGGCAGGCGCTGGGACCGAACAACAGGAGCGCACCCCGCCGCGGGGATTCATATAAATGAAAACATTTATATACTGCTGTATTATAAGTATACTGTTTATCACAGCAGTTTACAACAATATAAAAGCATAACATCACAAAACGTTAAAAACTAGTGAAAAGCAAGAAGAAATCAGAAGCAAACACCCATAGACCATTGTGTGAAGTGTGGTCTTAATAGCCTGCATTTTAAAGCCATCCTGCGGGAGGGAGTTCCAGAGTTTAACTACCTGCTGGGTGAAGAAGGATTTCCTTTCTTTTGCTGCTGTTCGATGCCTAGTTTCTCAAAACCAGCAGACTGATGGGAGTCCTGAAGCCTTTGCACAGGGCAAAGGCATCGACCCCCCCCAACCCCTTGTTTACGTAGATGGAAACCAATCTGGCACTAATGAAGCTGCGCAGATGCAACTTCGCTGTGCTCTAAAGAGACAGCGTGAACACACCCTAAATCAGGCATAGGCAAACTCGGCCCTCCAGATGTACTACAGCTCCCATCATCCCTAGCTAACTGGACCAGTGGTCAGGGATGATGGGAATTGTAGTCCCAAACATCTGGAGGGCCAAGTTTGCCTATGTCTGCCCTAAATGCACACTGTGCTTCTTTCATTCCTGTTCCAAGGCAACAACTGCTCCCCAAACCTCCCAGTCTTTCCTTCCTTTTGTCTGGTTTAACTTTATTGTTATGCAAAACCTCAATCTTCCAGCAGTGAGAGACCCCAGGGATTGCAGGTGTGGTTTCCCAGAGTTCATTTTCCTTGGAATGAAGGTTGATGGAGACCTTGCCAGCAGATCTTACCCCAAGTTCCTAATATAATGCAATTATTTTTACACCATTTTCACTAATAGATGCATCTTGGTGGGGTTCTTTCCCTTTTGGATGCTTCTGGTACATTTCCCTTCCCTTTCCGGGAACTCTAGCTGGGAAGTGTGGATTTTTAAGGGTTGCTGTGTTCTGGTTCACGTACAAAGTGCAAATTTGGTAGTTCTCACATTAAACTACGAACTTAATTTATTTTTCCAGCGTCACTACATCTGCTCAGGCTTCAGAGACTCTCCGTCTCCTGTACATTACATAAAGGCATTCAAATCTATCTTTTAAAACTGTTTTATCAATTAAAATTGTTTTGATGGTGATTTGTTCATTAAATTAGGCAACATATGCTGTAACTGTGATTAAATGTTATGATGCAGTTGTTTACTGTTTCAAAGCCATTTCAGGGTTCATCTGAATGAATCCTGGTGCAGGAATTCAATAAATCATGTAAATCAAATCTTTCTCTCTTTTTGCTGTTACAGATAGGTAGCCGTGTTGGTCTGCCATAGTCAAAACAAAAAAAATTCCTTCCAGTAGCACCTTAAAGACCAACTAAGTTAGTTCTTGGTATGAGCTTTCGTGTGCATGCACACTTCTTCAGATACACTGAAACAGAAGTTGCCAGATCCTTCTATATAGTGAGAAGGTGGGGAGGGGTATTACTCAGAAGGGTGGTGGGAATGGGTGATTGGCAGATAGCTGTGATGAGCCTGTTGACGACTCTTAGCGACTGCAATATGTCTTACAGGAAAAAGCAAGGGGTGAGAAGGTGAAAAATGGCTTTGTCATGTATAATGAGATAAGAATCCAATGTCTTTGTTCAGACCAGGTCTCTCCATGGTTTTAAGTTTGGTAATGAGTTGCAATTCAGCAGCTTCTCTTTCCAGTCTATTTCTGAAATTCCTTTGTAGTAAAACAGCTACTTTGAGATCTTGTATAGAATGTCCTGGGAGACTGAAGTGTTCTCCTACTGATTTCTCTGTCTTGTGATTCTTGATGTCAGATTTATGTCCGTTTATTCTTTGGCGTAAGGTTTGGCCTGTTTGTCCAATATAGAGAGCTGAAGGGCACTGTTGGCATTTGATGGCATACACAATGTTAGATGATGAGCAATTAAATAGTCCCGAGATGGTATGTGTGATGTTGTTGGGGCCAGTAATGGTGTTGTCCGGGTGTATGTGGCAGCAAAGTTGGCATCTGGGTTTACTGCAGGCTCTGGTGCCAGTGTCCGTGTTAAGTCTGGTTGTAGTATTATTGTGGGTTAGGAGTTGTTTAAGATTGGGTGGCTGTCTGTAGGCAATGAAAGGTCTTCCTCCCAGAGCTTGAGAAAGAGAACTGTCATTGTCCAGGAGAGGTTGTAGATCTCTTTTTGCTGTTTTGTTTTGTTTTAATTGGAACTGAAGGCAGAAAGGCATGTCTTGCTCCATACTGGACCCAAGAGCTGTTTTGCGGCCAAAGGTGATAGAAGGTGCCTTTAGCCACTAACGCTGCCATGATTCATTCATTCATTCATTCCATTTATAGCACACCTATTTTCTCCAAGGAGCTCAAGATGGTATATATGGTTCTCCCCCTCCGCATTCCTGCATTGTGGGGGGTTGAATTAGATGACCCTGGGATCCCTTCCAGCTCTACAATTCTATGATTCGATAATTTAATCCCCACAACACCCTTGTGAGGAAGATTTGGCTAAGAGGCAGTGACTGGCCCCTAGGTTCATGGCCAAGTGGGGATTTGTTTTTTTTTTTTTTTTAAATTTTTTTATTGCGTTTCTTTTCATAATTTTATACAATCCAATACAAAATAAGTCAAATACAAGAAACAATTTTTGATTTTTCTTAACAAAGGAAAAAGAAAAGAAGAAAGAGAAAAAAAAAGAAACCTTGTACTTCCCCACACCTTCCAAGTCTGCATTCTTTGTAATATCAATGTCAGCAATTTGTTACCTTATTTCAAACCTTGTTACAACTTTCAATTATTATGTATCCGTATTCAATATATTGTATCTCAAATTTGATGCCTTTAAAATAAACATAATATGTTTGGTTCACCTTGTCCTCTTTTCTCTTTTGTTACTTATTTTGCCATTTACTTTATCATATTTGCTTAAGCATAACCTTTCCCCTAACATGCACTGTCTTAGGATTCATACAACTTATAATGTTTTTGCAAATAGTCTTTAAATTTTTTCCAATCCGCCTCCACCAATTCCTCATCCAAATCTCGGATTCTGCCGGTCATTTCAGCTAACTCCATGTAGTCCATCAACTGCGTCTGCCATTCCACCAACGTGGGCAAATCTTGTGTCTTCCAATTCTTTGCGATGAGTATTCTTGCTGCTGTGCTAGCATACATAAACAACGTTCTGTCTTTCTTTGACACTTTCTGGTCTACCATGCCCAGCAGGAAGGCCTCTGGATTCTTAGGGAAGGTATACCTAAATACCTTTTTCAATTCATTATAAATCATTTCCCAGAAGGCCTTCACTTTTGGGCAGGTCCACCAGAGATGAAAAAAAGTCCCTTCTGCCTCCTTACATTTCCAACATTTATTGTCAGACAGGTGATATATCTTAGCGAGCTTGACTGGGGTCATGTACCACCGGTATATCATTTTCATAATGTTTTCTTTCAGGGCACTACATGCCGTGAATTTTATTCCGGTGTTCCATAACCTTTCCCAGTCTTCAAACATAATGTTATGTCCCACATCCTGTGCCCATTTTATCATGGCAGATTTAACTGTCTCATCCTGTGTATTCCACTTAAGCAGCAAGTTATACATTCTCGATAATATCTTAGTTTTTGGTTCTAATAGTTCTGTCTCCAAATTCGATTTTTCCACTTGGAAACCAACTTTTTTATCCATTTTAAAAACCTCTTGAATTTGAGCATAATGTAACCAGTCTCGCACCTTATTTTTTAATTTGTCCTGGCTCTGCAGTTTCCAATTGTCTCCAATTTTTTCAATTATTTCCCAATATTTCGGCCAATAGGCCTCCATATTGGGCCTTTTTCGAGCCTTGGCCTCCATCGGTGATAGCCACCTCGGGGTTTTACTCTCTAGTAAGTCTTTATATTTCATCCAGACTGCAAAAATTGCTTTTCTGACAACATGGTTTTTAAACAATTTGTGAACTTTAACCTTGTCATACCACAAATATGCATGCCAACCAAAAGCATTATCAAAACCTTCCAGATCTAGGACATCAGTGTTTTCTAGCAAGAACCAATCCTTCAACCAGCAGAAGGCTGCAGCTTCATAGTATAACCTCAAGTCCGGCAGGGCAAACCCTCCTCTTTCTTTCGAATCAGTTAGTATTTTAAACTTTATTCGAGGCTTTTTGCCCTGCCAGACAAACTTGGATATATCCCTCTGCCACTTTCCAAAACATTCCACTCTGTCCACAATCTGAAGGGTTTGGAACAAAAATAACATTTTGGCCAAGTGGGGATTTGAACCCTGGGCTTTCTCAGGTCCCATTCTGACCCCTCTGGTTACCCTCCAAGGGCTGTTTAGCTCAAACTACTTTGAGATTGCAAACGTTTTAATGATTTGAGTAACACTCCAAGCACCTCTAATACTTCCCTGTGCATCCAAAGCCACCCAACAAAATTTGCCATCAAGACTTAATGTTTTAAGACTGGGCACATATCTATTTACTGCATTTCAGGTGGGTTTACCTCTGCCAGCAACGTGACTACTCTGCAAGACGTCAGAATGGTGCAGTTCCATTACCAAAAGGTAACTTCAGTGTGTGGATATGTCCCCTCACCATTTTACACTCACAACAACCCTGTGAAGGAGGTTAGGCTGAGAGATGGTGACAGGTACAAGGTCATCCGGTGAGCTTAATGGCCAAGTTGAGATTTGAACCTTGGTCTCCCAGGCCCCATTCTGACACTCTAACTACACACTATGACTTCAGTCTTGTTTTAAATGCATTTGGTTTTGGGTATGTGCATGTGTGTTTTAAACTCTTTTTAATTATATCATATGTAAATTGCCTTGAGACAGTGGTTTAGAAGGTGTTCAATGAAATCATCATCATCATCATCATCATCATTGGGATCAGGTGAAGTCCCGTTCTCCACACTAAATTTTTAAAAAAGGCATTGATAAACTAGAATGTGCCTTCTCTCCTTTGTTTTGGTTTCTGTCCCCTGTTGGAGACAGTGTACTGGAACAGATGGACCCTTGGTCTGATCCAGCGCAGGCAGTTATTATGTATCAGAGTCAAATGGCTATTTCTGGATCCTCTTTCCACAGCGCAAGAGGAAGGTGCAACGGTGCTGCATTTGCTTCATGGAAGTCCTCAGCGGATTCCTCCTCTTGTTGCTGGTAGCGACTGTCTTCACTCTCCTGCGCTGTTTTCTAGGTAAGGCCCTTTCCTTTATCTGTGGCTGCTTGTATGATGCCTTTCCATAACTGGGAGGGGAGGGAGCCTAAACTGGTTTGGTTAATAATGTGGACATGTCCCCACCCCAACAGAGTTCTCCGATCTTACATTAGCAAACAGTGGGAGTAAGGCAGAGCTCTTGAGGAATTCAACCACACCTACAAAAGGCCTTGTGTTTCTCAGGACTGTTCCTCACACCTCAACCATAAATGAGATCATTTCTCAGCAGCCCACAGTACCCCTGAAGTCGGTGTCACCTCAGGCCTCATCTCAGAGCAAGATGGGTTCTCCTCTGTCAACCACTGAGAAGTCCAATCCAGAGACTTCATTGCCGCCATTAATTTCAGTGACGCAAAATAGTTTGCCACAGCAGCCCACCTTAAGCACAAAACTGAGGTCCACTCAGCTGGACCTGCTCGTACAATGGATGGCTCCACAGCAGCTTACCTTGGCTGCAGAACCATTGCCTCCGCCAACCATGACTACAAAACTGGAATCTCCTCACCAGCTAACTTCAGATGTGAAGCCGGTGATGCCTCAACATAGTCCCTCACCAATGGAGGAGTCTTCTGGACAACCAATAACCCCAGCAACCAAGTGGCCTTCTCCTACCCAGCTAAGTTCAGCCACAAAACAGAAGTTTGTAACTCATCCAAATGCAACTGTGCAGCCGATGCTGCAGCACCTAACCAGAACTGCAACCTCAGCTTCTCCTACCACAAAGCTGAGACCTCCTCAGATCTCCTCAGCCATGCCATCTTCTCCACCACAGCTAACCCAATTCACCAGTCTGCCATCTCTACAGCAGCTGACCACAACCATGAAAGGAACAACTTCCACCATGAAATCCATTTTTTTACTTCAGTTGATGACAAGCTACGGAATCTCGACTTTGGAAAGTTCCAGCAGTGAGGCCACAAAGCTGGAATATATGGTAAGCATGATGTTTCACTATCTGTTGCATGTACTAAATGTGAAATGATATCTATGCAACCATGCCAAATGCAGCAACGTTTTAGCCTGCTGTTCAAACGTTGGGTGTCAGTTTTTTTTCAACTCTGAAATAGAATTTGTGAACGTTTAATCATAAAGATAACAAAAAACTTGATTTTCAGAGGTATTGACAACTGTCAATAGTCAGTGACAAGATCTCAGATTGTCAATTTCAGCGTATTTTGATGTCAAACTAGTCAAGAAATATCCACATATTCAGATACATCCAGTATCATTGGATGCCAAAGACCAGCATCAGATGTTTCGTGATTATTTGGGAAATGCACAAATATTCAGGGGCTTTCAATAAAGTATTGTGGTTATTCAGGAAATATCCAAATATTCGGAGGATGTCTGGTGAATATCCTACACTGAAATTGACAGGGGAGAAGGGCAAGGAACATTGGGAGCAAATTCTTTCAGTCCCAGAGTATGGCCACTATCCTAATGAATCTCTGATAAGTTTCTCCCCTCATCTCATGGTGTGTCAGCGTGTCATAAAAGCTTCTGCTTCCTCCCTTGTTGTATGTGTGGCTTGACTGGCCGGCTTGAATCAGCTTGACCCATTTGCACTGGCAAACGTGCCCCCTGTTTACACTTAGAATGACAGCATGCAGAGCAGCCTCACAAGTCTGCTTGCTCATCCACCTGGTTTAGGATTTCCCACTCTGAGACTGACACCGGTCCCACAGGGCCACAGGCAGAAAACAGCCTTTCTTCATCACCTGCTTTGAAACTGAGATATATTAACCAGGGGTCTCCAACCATTTTTGGACTAGTGGGCACATTTCAAATGTTGAGAGTGTGCTGGGGACGCACGTCACAAAATGGCTGCCAGGGAGGGGGCATGGCATAACACAAAATGGCTGCCATGGGGAGCATGGTGTTAGAGAGATAACCACTCTAATGACCTCATGCTGACCATAGGAAATAGCTATGTCCTGCTCGTCTTGGTTATGGAGAACACACACACACACACACACACACTGTTGTGATGCTGCTGCTTTCTAATAATAACAGAGAGCACATTTCTCAGTACAGTGGTACCTCGCAAGACGAATGCCTCGCAAGACAAAAAACTCGCTAGACGAAAGGTTTTTCCGTTTTCGAGTTGCCTCGCAAGACGAATTTCCCTATGGGCTTGCTTCGCAAGACGAAAACGTCTCGCGACTTTGTTTCCTTTGTCTAAATAATAATTCGCAAGACGAAAAATTCGCTAGACGACAAAACTTGCGGAACGAATTAATTTCGTCTTGCGGGGCACCACTGTACCAGGAAAAATATACGAGGTAGCCACACCACTCTTGTTTGGGAGGAATAACTTAAAAGGTACCTGTACATTTTGCCCCATAACTATCTTTCTAGGAGGGCTACTGACTTACTGTTTAAAGAAAGCTTAGAGTCTGGGGTACCTACCCAGGGGCACCACTAAATGCCTTCACAGGCGCCATAACACCCATAGACACCCCCTGCTTTTAGCTGATACCAGGGATTGAATGAGGGACTGGCTGCCTGGTAAACTGAACTCTGGCCTCCCTGACATGGCTTGATCTGTAGATTGAGTTGATATGCAGATGGATTACGCCTCCAGTTCAATACCATTATTAGCTTCTGCTGATTTCCCAAGCTTCTCTGCCTATCCAGGATTTCCTGTATTCATTCCGCATGCCACATCAGTTGGATAACTAAGCCTTTAATTTGGGCTAATAGATCTCATCGGAATTTGAACCCATAACTCAGACCAACAGAGATGCTTCAAAGTTTCTAAATCAAGGCATGAGAACCTCTTCCAAGTGGGCCAGTTGGCAAAGCAAGCAGGGTGGGCACCTGCAGCTCCTGTGGGACAAAAGGATGTATCTAGCATGTGCACAAGCTAGCAGGGCTGATCATAAGAGCGTAAGAAGACCTTTCTGGGTTGGACCAATGGCCCGTCAAAGTCAGTTTCCTGTACTCCTTTTAGAATACATCCGAAGGCAGCCCTGTATTGGGAAGCTTTTAATGTCTGATGTTTGATTATGTTTTTATATGTGCTGGAAGCCACCCAGAGTGGCTGGGGCAACCCAGCCAGATGGGTGAGGTATAATTATTATTATTATTATTATTATTATTATTATTATTATTATTATTAAGTTGCCTGGTGATTCGGGGCAGCCCTGAACAAATGCAGTTTGGACAACAGCTGTGTTCACCGCCAGTGGTGCTAAAAACTACGGCAAGCTATGTCCCTAGCAGGTTTGGGGATCACCCCTGATTGGGGTGCAGGTCAAATAAATGTGCCCCTACATACCTTGTTCTCTTAGATTGAAGCAGATGAGAGACTCAGGAACATTCTACCATATGTGGTGGACATGTAGGAAAATACAGGTATTCTGGGAGAGTATACATGCAGAACTGCAAAAAATGCTAAAGATCTCTTTCAATAAAAAACCAGAGGCCTACCTCCTAGGAATAACAGATTTGGATATTCCACAAAAGAGGAAGGGTATCTTTTTATATGCGACGACGGCAGCAAGAGTTTTGATCGCAGCAAAATGGAAGAGTAATGAAATCCCCTCTATACAAGATTGGATCCAAAAGCTGACAGAATATGCCGAATTAGATGGTTTATCAGAAAAAATAAAGAATAAATCAAAACAGGAATTTGTTTCTAAATGGGAGGTTTTCAAAGAATATCTGAAAAATAAATATAGTAGTTTAAATTCTGTTGCAGCATTCGAGGAACTTCAGTAATAGTTTCAAGGTAGATATAAGAAATTAGATTTATTGAGAATAAGTTTAATTATGAAAAAAAATGTGTATTGGCAATAAGTAATATGAATTTGAAATATGAAATAGACGGGAGGTTGGGTCTTTAGTGTTAAGACCAATAGATGTTTTATTGTTTGCTAAGAAAATTATGTGTCTATGGTTACTTTTGTAATTTGTGTGTAATTTGGTATTTGGGTTTTTTTTCCCTTGTTGTATAAATAAAAAAACTTTATTTTTAAAAAAAGTAGATTGAGGCAGATGGCTGGGGCAGTTTAGAAGAGCCCTCGTGCAAATGCACGTGTGTGCAACAGTAGAGGCCTGGCTGGAAAGCTGAAAGCCTCTGCCACTACATGGGAGACGGATTGAAGAAGAGGAAATGCAAATTGGCCCTGCCCTGTAGCTTGACCAATCGCGGCTAGGAGCTAGGTGAAGTCATAGATCTTTTAAAAAGTACAGTGGTACCTCGGGTTACATACGCTTCAGGTTACAGACTCCGCTAACCCAGAAATAGTACCTCGGGTTAAGAACTTTGCTTCAGGATGAGAACAGAAATCGTGCAGCGGCAGCAGGAGGCCCCATTAGCTAAAGTGGTGCTTCAGGTTAAGAACAGACCTCTGGAATGAATTAAGTACGTAACCAGAGGTACCACTGTATAGACTCGCACACACCGGCCAGCTTCCATTTTGACTTGAAATATTCATTTTGGGCTTCTCAGAAATACACAAAGGCAAGAAGCAGGTGTGGGGGGGAGCACTGGCCTGCAACGGCACTCACCTGAGAGGCACCGGAACTATGTTCCTGTGTGCTCTAGCTGAAAAAAGCACTGACGGTATGCAGTATTCCAAACATGGTTGCACCAAAGTTTAGTATAACAGCGCTGTGCGATCGGCAGTTTTATTTTCCATTCCTTTACTAATGATCCCTAGCAGGGAATTTGCCTTTTCAAAATCTGACCTGCACAGGGTTAATATCTTCATTGAGCCAGCACCATGACACCAAGATCTTCTTCCTTGTCCGTCACCCCTTGAGCAGCTGTGTGAAGTCATATTACATCACTCTACTGCCTCCAGAAGATGTCCTGGCCATAGCTGTCAACTTTCAGATTTGAAAATAAGGGATCAGCAGCCTCACCTGTCCCAGGGACAGTCTACGGGATATCTAACAATCCGGGATAGCTGCGGGAAGCAGCGGGAAACGGTGCTGGAATAAGGGAATTTCCCGCAAAAAAAAAAAAAAGGGGGAAGGTTGACAGCTATGGTCCCTGCCATCTCCATTTTCAACTGGGAGAGACCCCTCCTTGAACTCCTGGAGAGACGCTGCCAGTCAGAGAAGACAACACTGAGCTAGATGGGCCAGTAGTCTGACTAAGGCCATTTCCTGTTTTGCACGCTTTACGTCATTTATGCAAGTTTTGATGCCTGAAGAGCCTTGTGGCTCACAGCAGAATGGCATGTTTCACAGCCAGTGCATGGCCACCCATAAAAGCAACAGCCCAGTCATTTTTCCTCCCATCCCTGTTCCCCCTCCCAGCTATTTTGTGAAACACCTGGTGTGATGTCATTGAGTCACCAGTGTCATTGTCTCCCATTACCATTAATGGAGGAGAGGGCTATTAATGGCTGCTAGCCACAATGGCTATGCTCTGCTTTAGTCAGAGGCAGAAATGCTTCAGAGTACCACTTGCTGGAAGGGACGCGGGTGGCGTTGTGGGTTAAACCACAGAGCCTAGGACTTGCCGATCAGAAGGTCGGCTGTTCGAATCCCCGTGACGGGGTGAGCTCCCGTCACTCAGTCCCTGCTCCTGCCAACCCAGCAGTTTGAAAACACATCAAAGTGCAAGTAGATAAATAAGTACCGCAATGGCGGGAAGGTAAACGGCGTTTCCGTGCGCTGCTCTGGTTCGCGAGTAGCTGCTTTGTCATGCTGGTCACATGACCCGGAAGCTGCATGCCGGCTCCCTCGGCCAATAAAGCGAGATGAGCACCGCAACCCCAGAGTCAGTCACGACTGGACCTAATGGTCAGGGGTCCCTTTACCTTTACTACCACTTGCTGGAAACCACAGGAGGGGAGAGAGCTCTTGTGCTCAGGTCCTGCTCGTGGGTTTTCCAGCAGAGGCATCTGGTCAGCCACTGTGAGAACAGGATGCTGGACCAATGGGCCTTTGGCCTTGAACCAGCACTCACGTTCCCAG